GGTTCCTGCGTCGAGAGTTCAAAGGACTGCTGCAAGGGCTGCTTCAGCTATCGCAAGAGATTTATTGTGGACTTGTCTCACCGTGGAGGAAGTTCTACAGGCTATTTCCAGCTTGAAAAATGGGAAGTCTCCTGGAGTGGATAAATCGGGGCAGATGTTCTGAAGGCAATGTGCACCGATGGGTGCTCGTGGCTGCATGGGGTGCGTCGGGCCGCTTAGAAATCGAGGAAAGCACCTAGAGATTGGGAAACCGGTGTGGCAATTCCTCTTTTTTAAGAAGGGGGACTCGAGGGAGTGCACGAACTATCGTGGGGATCACTCTCCTCGGCATACCGGGCAAAGTCTACTCTGTGGTGCTGGTGCATTCGGCTCGGGCAGTCGTGGGTGAGGCCATCCAAGAGGAGCAGTGCGGCTTTCGTTCGTGGCGCAGTACCACGGACCGGCCATTCACCCTCCACCAAATCCTCGAGAGACATTGGGAGCACGCCAAAGACGTATGCATGTGCTTTGTAGACCTCGAAAAAGCGTACGACCTTGTGCCTCGAGGGAAACTGGGGAGTGCCAAAGGAATACGGGATGAAGGGTCGGCTATTGCAGGCCGTTCGGTCTCTATACAGTGAATGCATTCGTGCGTTCGCGTGAGCGGAAGGAGCTCGGATTGTTTCCCGGTACGTGCTGGGCTTCGGCAGGGTTGCGTCCTCTCTTCTTTCCTGTTCCTCGTGTACATGGACGGAATCTGTTTGCGCAGCCTCGGTCCGGAGGGAGTCGATATCGGCGGCGTCACGGCATCTCTTTGCCGACGATGCCGTCCTTTTGGCCCGTTCTCCGCAGGAGTTCCAGAGCGTACTCGAGCGGTTCGACTCCGAATGCACTGCGTCCGGAATGAAACTGAGCGTGTCTAAGACACAGGTCATGGTCCTCTCGCGGAATCCCGTACGGTGTACCCTGCACGTCGGCGGGGGTCCCACCGGAACGGGTAGAGAAGTTCAAGTACCTCGGGGTCTGGTTCTCGAGTGACGGGCGACACGGAGACCAGATCGACAACCGCATCTCCAAGGCTTCTGCAGTCCTAAGGGAACTTTGGCGAACCGTGGTTGCTAGATCGGAAGTTTCTAGGGAAGCGAAACTCTCGATTTTTAAGAGCGTTTACCACCCCACCCTCACCTATGGTCACGAACTTTGGGTAATGACCGAAAGAACCAGATCGCGGATACAAGCTGGCGAAATGAGGTTCCTCCGTCGAGTGGCTGGCGTAACGCGCCGTGATCGGATGCGGAACTCTGCCGTTCGCGAGGGCCTCCACGTCGAGCAGCTGCTTCTCGGGATCGAGAGGTCCCAGGTCGGGTGGTTTGGACACGTCTGCCGCATGCCCCCCGAGAGACTCCCACGGGGAGTCGTCCAGGCTAGGATGACCGACAAAAGAACCGTCGGTGGACCTCGTACAAGGTGGGCTGACTGCGTCGCCCGACTTTGTCACGAGAGGCTCGGCATTCCACCAGTCGAGCTTGAGTCCGTTGCCCAGGATCGGGATCATTGGAGGACCCTCCTGGGCCTGCTCGAATCGCGACCCCACTAAGTGGGAGAAGCGGTTTTAGAAAATGTATGTATGTAAATTATGAAAATATATGAAAAATTATGAAGGCTTCAATGCTGCAAAACTCCGTCACCTTTCAGCTCAAATGTCCGATATTCTTTTAGAGTTCCTTTAAGTGACTTTCACGTTACATTCGGGAAATCCATTTATGTGGAGGAAAATGTCTTAATTGATTTCTTTTTCAAGAAATCAGGAAATTCATGGCCACGAGGTCATCATGAGGCAAAACGCAATTTATTTCCACTAACTTATTAATATATTATTATATATTAATTGTAACTTATATATTGCTTAGGTATGCAACTTTAGCGAGATTTCTCTCAAGCGTGACCTTGCCAAAAATCATTGAATAACTGAAGCGTTTGAATCAGATCAGGACAAACATTTTTGCTGTCATGAAAGACAATTTTCTTCTCGTGGAGCGAACGGGGGAAATACGCTCCCGCTCTGCATTATCCAGAAGTAGAGGATAATGCAGAAGAGGAACATGCCTCAGGGAACATTCTTGCAAATAAAAAACTAAAATAGTAACATATTATTAAAATTTTTAAATATTAACCTTGGCATAAAAGTTTGAGCTAAATGGGCGCAAGAGAAGCTTTTTCATTGTCCTTGGCCTCGAAGAAATTTTCACCGAAAGCGGAAATAAATAATTATTTAATAATTTAATTCAATAATTATAATAATAAGTATAATATATATAATAAATATAATAATTTTCATGTTTCCCGAGTTTTAACGATGACGTTTGTGCCTTAGTAGTTCGGAGAAAAATCAGTTCACTTAATTAATACACTGGTCAGGTTGAGTAGCAAGCAGAATCGAGAAAGTCGTAAAATTGTTTCACAAAATTCATTTTGCTCAATTTGAATGCCCGGCATTCAAATTCAGCTAAATTCTTGCCTGCTTGCTGCGATTCCAGAATCGAAAGTCGCGCGTCTTTTAGGCTGCGAGTTTTCGATTCGGCATTTCGAATTCTGCATTGAGAAATGCCTAACCTTGGGCGAGGACGACTGGAAGGAAGGCAGCGAGGCAGAGGACGAATCGTGGCATCATCTAAATAATCTATAGTAATCCATCACCTATAAATAATCTCTAATAATTTATCACCTATAAATAATCTCTAAATAATCTCTAATAATTTATCACCTATAAATAATCTCTAAATAATCTCTAATAATTTATCACCTATAAATAATCTCTAAATAATCTCTAATAATTTATCACCTATAAATAATCTCGAAATAATCTATAATAATCTATCATCTAATGGTTAATTTGTTCAGTGTAATATGGACCTGGATTCGTATGTTATGAACAGTCGTAAGCAAAACGTCGGCTCTTATATGCCCCTCTGTCGCGTGCTTCAATTCTCATCGGAATCGCGTCAGCTGGAGTTCCATGCAGGACTTGTTTGTCCTGTTTCGATGGTGTAAGTTTCGTTATATATTATGCGAAAATTAAATATTCACAGGGATCAGTGGAGTTGATGCAAAATGATGCGGTGGCTCCCGATTGAATTCGAAATTCGGGAATTTTCTTGGAAAAGCGAATGGATGCGCATGCCTCCGTGCGTGCCACAAGCGAATGCCGCATGCCTTCAGATGACGCGAAGGAAAATGAGGCAAAAACGCAGCGAAAGTGGCCAAAAGCCCGACGTTTCGAACCCGCCGTTGGCCGCGTTTCCTTTAATGCAACTGGCCCAAAATCCACTGACGCTTCCAGCCGACATGAAATACGGCGAACCATGTTTCCCACGGGAACAGGTCGTACCCAGGTCGTATCCAGGTCGTACCCATGGACCCGCTCCCGGCTTATGCGAACACGCGCGTCACCGTCTGTTCCCCCCAAGAGCAAGCAAAATATTTCTAGATTTCACTTTTTGGATAATAAGCTTTGCCAGCTCAGAACGTAATTAGCCTCCTCGGAGCAAGTGTCTTGGCACCTCGCCCCTTTAAAAATCCGGGCGGATTCTAGGGTCTAACTGTCTTTGCCGTCTGACTTGCAAGTCAAACAGCAAAGAAAGTGAAGATCCCCAAAAGAACAGCACGCGCCAGGTGTGGACGTTCCAATTGGAAATTCCCTTAGAAATGGGGGAGAGCAGGACCCGAAGCACAAACGGGAAAGAATTTATAGAGGGGAAGAGAGAAGGCAAAGAGTAGGACAGGTGCGCCGGGTGGGACAGGCGCCAGACAGGGACTCAAATCTGGGATCGGTGCCATGTACTTCGTGTCCTCTGTCGCGTCTCTGTTCCGGTCTTTTTAACATTTTTCCATCTTTTGTTGCCAGTTGTTGTTGTTTTGTTGTGGGTATGAATCCTTAAATAATGTCTACTATTTAGTGAGTTTCAGAACACCGTAAAGTTTTCTTGCGAACATGTTGCTTGAAACCCGCGGCAATTCGCGCATAACCCCTTCGCGGCCTATTACCACGATCCCGGTGATCGGGACGTGAGAAAAGCATGTGAGGCGTTGCTAAAATCGATTTGGAAGAAATTTGAAAGAAAAAAAATCGTTTTATTGCCAATGCACCTCATAGTGACTACACGTTCAAATTTGGTCCAAAATCAACTAAGTGGCCGATTTTTAGTGGTTTAAAGACATTTACCACTAAATAAGATTGCTAAAGGCACAGAACTCTCGTGATCTTCAAATTGGCGCGATACATAGAAACTCTACCGATATTGAAAGCAACTTTTGCAGCAACTGGACGCCGGGGACCCAGAATCGGGGTCCAACTTTGTGCTTCGCTTTCCATCCCGTATGCAAATTCAGGCCTATCGGTTAGATATTTTTAGACCGACGAGGCGTTCACGTTTGCGGGCCATGCGAACATCCGAAAGTGCGTCATCGCACCCAAATCCTCATATTAAACGGTCGTTGAATTGAATTGAATTGTAAATTGACGGTTTTCTGCGAATTCACCGATTCATCACCGGACCGCAATTCCTAATCGACAAGTGTCATTGTCTCTTCGAGGGTTGTCATCGTTAAAGCAGAATGAATTGAGAATGCCAGGGTAAAAACTCAGATGAGTCCTTTTCGTCTGCGAAATAACGAAATTTAAAAGAGGTAAATTTCTCTGTTACCATTTGCTGCACGGACATCCAAAGAAATTCCGTTGCAAAGGCAAATTGCGATTGACGTCGATCGGATCCATTTTAATTCTTCATTTAATATTTTTCATTTGTTAATCGCGACTTGCATTAATTTTAACGCATTTATGATTTCAGATGCAGATGAGTCTGTCGTAACGGGTGAGCAATTTCGCCAACGTGAATTCTGTCGATATTTCTGGAGCAGTTTCTTTTTCTATGCGCAGCTGCATTAAGGAATAAAAATCGAAATAAAAGTTGAAGGATAGCTTCCTTTCATGGATGGAACAATTCTTGAAATTCCATAAATTCTCAAACTTTATTTCATGAACCGCCTATTCACAGAATGAATTAGAGAAGGAAATCTTATCGGATATTGGCGGGATGAATAAATGAACGAAAAGGATTTGAATGGACTCTCATGCCTCCCTGATGATCCTGACACCCCCGCCGAGGGAGCATTCCAATATCGCGCCGCCGTAGTCGTTCACCCATTCGCCGTTTTCGTTGAAGTGCCAGTAGCCTGGGAAGATGGTGGCGTTGTTGCTCGGTGTGATGGCCGTTCCGTAGTAGACGTAGGCGGTGAGGCTCACGGGATCGCTTGTCATCGCAAATGCGGAACCGAAAATCATTTCTCCCAGGCCTGAAAAAGAGATGCGCATGTACTAAATGTACAAAGAGCTCAAGTAGAAGGTACTTGAAATAATAATAATAATAATTCAACAAGTTTTTCTTTTAATTTTAAATCCTACCTTCATTATAAAAAATGGAGAGGTCTTGGAAGTAAGCCCCAAAGGTGGAACCAGAAAGATCAAGTTGGCCAGTCGGGTCCACGCATTCATCGAAGTCGAACATTATCGACATTACCGCTCCGTCCAGTTCAGCTTGCAGAACTTGCGAGTAATCCGTCAATTCCGTTCTGCATTCGGAGATTCATCGCATTCGTCGCATCTGGTTTTGATTCGCGATGGGATACGAAATGAGAGGAGTTAACCTGTCGAAAGAATGCGCGGCGAAATGGGCCGCTTCTCCGATTGGGCACAAGAACACGTATGTTCCCATGTTCCCAGGGTCGGTTGGGTCGAAAATCGAAATCTTCACGTATAGGACGTTGTCGGGGGCGGTGTAGTATTCTTGTAGGACCATGTCCCCCGAGGCTAAGGCAAAAGATGCGGGACGGGGCGGGGAAAATACTAGACGTTATACATCTAATTTTTGGCTATTTAGCAGATTCCGACTACCGTCAATGATGAATTGAGAGAAGTAGACGCCTCCTGGGAATTCTCCGCTTTCCACTTGTAGCCAATTGACCACGATGATTCCGGCATACTGAAAAAAAGGAAATTGCCGAATCTGCGAGTAAAATCCCGGAATTCCCATCAACTGAATTCCTCGCCCCAAGTAACACAATATGTTGATGAAACGTTTTCGAAATGTTGCCTATGTTACTCTATGTTGCAAGTTGCTGTACAACATTGAGAAAACATTGCTTCAATGTTTTCACTTGGAATNCAACATTGATATAACATTGGTTCAATGTTTCCACTTGGAATGTTGCTACGACATTTCTACGAATGTCATTGCAACATTAGCTATCAACATTGAGAGAACGTTGACACTCTTGACATCGACAACGTAGCGACAACATTCTGATGCAACATGGACTTAGAAGTTTTAGAGAATTGTAATGTTGTCCTCCTTGCCACGAGATGGAGACATAAGTCTCGCTTTCTCACAGTACACAAAAGTGCTCTTCTCCCTTTCCCTGGAATAGTTCCGCACTGGAATGTCTAGTACTTTGCCATATGTATCACATTGTCTCATTATAGGAATCAATGAACACGGACACTTCATCACCTGTAATCCTTATTTTCCAGACAGATTAATGGGGTCAAGATAAAAAAGCTCATATTCCCAAAAAGAACCCTTTTCCTAGAATTCGTCGAATTCATCCTACAAGGCAATAAAAACGATGGAAGAGAGTATGCGATCTCAATACTTCATATCCTCATCCTGGCTATTAGCTGAGGACACGAAGGATTGACCTCGTGGACACTCCATAGAACATTGTGGTCGGACCTTTTCCTGTATTGGGCAATTTAGCACATCAGGGGAAGATCACCTCCAAAAATGTACTGTGTCCTGCCTGTACATGCTACAGATACTGTATTATGCATGGGTAGAGGGTGAAACCAGTACAAGCTTCGTCCTGTTGATGAGAATTTCTGGATAGAGAGTTAAAGTACGAAAGGATGAAATAAATAATTCAATATTGGTCCAATATCGGTACAGTTCAGGACCAGTGAAGCCTACGCCTCTCCGTAATGCCAATATAGGCCCAGATTAGGTGCCCGTGAAGCAACGTTTTTAATCAACATTGCAGCAACATAAATTCTGAAACGTATCTGCAACGTATATGTAATGAATAAGTAACGATTTTCAACGTAAATGCAATGTTCCTTCCCAACATTTGAGCAACGTTGACGTTTTGGGCATTTACACATAGATGCAACATTGTTCATCAACATTTCCTAAACGTTGCTGGAATATCTTGTGTTACTTGGGAGGTTTCCTAAGTTCTCAAATACTGAAGGACTGACTGAGTTGCCAAAGGATTCGTTTAGGAAAGCAATCTGGTCGTCAAACTGGGAGAAGTGCTGCTTCTCAGGGTTGGCAAGATTGTAGGGGATATCCCTGGAAAGAGGGGGTATGAGGACATAATCCCTGATATATTGGAGGAGACGGGGATCATCTTTTTCTATCTTTTCTCCCTTGTCCACGATCATGAGATTGAGCACTCGTTCGTCCCATTTCTCCGTGACTGTTCCAAATAAGATGCACACAGAAAGTTAATCACGGCCATAATGTAATCTATTACTATGCAAAATTTAAGGAAAATAATGCATTTCTTGTCCTTCAGCTATTTGCATCACCTCCGGTACATGACTTTGGATCTCTAAAGGAGTTCTGTCGTTTCCCTCTTGTTTTTTAAAGTATACTTTGCAATGGGTGCGATTGGAGAGAAGATTAATAGACCTTTAAATTCTCGTTTCGAACACGAAAATAGGTTCATTTGTTTAAAAGTTATTGCTGATCAAATGTGGTGTGGTTTTTTTGGGCAACCCTGTAGATTGCAATATTATGATATTTTTCATTTATTATTATTGCAACAAATTCCGTAGCGCAATATGTAGCAAATATTGTGATATGAAAGGAAAAATAATGGGACCAAAAGCTGTAATCCTGAAGTTCGTCAACACGGTATGATATACATTCATGAAAGTTTGCGCTCTTACTTTTTAAAAGATTGCATCACCCTAAATTTTCTTATTGGACCTTATGTTATAAGGGACATTATAAGGCTCACTGGGACCTGAAGATTAGAATGATTGAGTTCTGGATGATTTTCAAAAGAAGTATAACCAGACCCAAAAGGCTGTAGATGATTAGTGTCTATGAAGAACGAAGGCAAGATCATTACATGCATGTTGCTTTGACTGATTCTGGTAAGTCCAATGATTTAGAATACTTTGTTCAACAGAACAGCAAAGCTGTTCGACCATCTAAGAAAGAATAAAGAGCAGCCAATAGGAGCTAAGCCCATGACAGAGTATGGGTCTTGTTCCAGGGGAAATAATTGAAGTTTGAAGTTTCCATTATCGGCTTCTCCTTTGGGAAAATTAAGTACAGGATCAGTAAACACCGTCTCAACCGGCGTTTACTGATTTGTAATTAATTATTTTAATGCCACGCAGCCGATTCGTAGGCTAAAAACGAAGATTTAACGTTCCCCTGGCATTAAAATTGTTAGTACCCTTTATGTTCATCCAATGAAGTTCGAGATTCTCACCGGGTAAAGGAGATAATCGGTCCTGGAGGAAGAGATACTGAGTTTTCCAGTATGAATCCCAGTCTGCCTTCTTCGTCTGACGCACATAGTATACGGTGATGAAGGTACAGGAGGCGACTACCATGCACAGAAGCGTTATGCATCTCGGAATACGGAAGGTTTTCACAGTAACAGCCATGAACAATATCTTTGCCTCTCGTCCTCTGCCTTCACCCAGGCCTCTTTAGGCTGTTAGTCATCAGGACCTAGACTTACGTTGTTTCGCAGGAATGTAACTTCTCAATCATTTTCCATTATTCGCTGAATGCACTGCTCGGAAACATGCATCGCAATTCGGCAAAGAGTCTTCAGTTCCAGTCATGGATGAAAGATACGCACAAACACGTGAATAAGAAAATTCCACAGTCCGTACGTAGTATTGAGCGTTTCAGCCTACATATATCTCTTTTGAGATAAGAGATATCCTTCCGATTGCGGAGAAGCTGGTTTTTCCCATGTTACTGCCCACCTGGTGAGTTGAAGTACATGTACATGTGTGTCATAAAACTAGCCACCTTAAGCTTCAAACTACCATACCCGGAGGGTCATTACGTTAGGAAGCATGCTTCATTTATTCTCTAAGAATCTCTTCAAATTGTTCTGCACACACAGCACAAGTCGGTCTGGTTACCAAGACATCACAGTAAATTAACCATGCGTGCTGTTGTTTTTTCATTCCAATTAGGTAATATTACCGTCTTCTGAATTGCTGCGCGTATGTCAGTAGTAAGTCCCCACCAGTATAATGGCAACTGTCCCATTTTTAAGGAAAGGATGTCGAGTGCCTAAGCGCTCTAAGTGCACCACTTTCAAGTTTAGCCATTGGAATGATTGGAGAACCATTAGATAGAAGTACCATTTGAGACTCATTCTAAGTGGATACCAAGCATGATTTGCCTACCGTGCAAGGAGCACCCAATTAACTTGCTCTTGTGATTTTACCAAGAGAGCGGCGCTAGCACCGCTGAAGCAGTTTGGAAAATGATAGCAGCATGTTGTGCTGATTTCCAATCGCAAACACTTGAGCCATTTCGCCATAGAAAATGAGAATACCTGTCATTCGTTTAAGCCGAGGGCGATGACTCCTGACCCGTTCCCGGTGTTCCCGGATATCACGTCAGAGTTATGTCAGATTCATGACTTCTTAGTCATGAATCCCAAGTCTCATTGTCTGGATCTTTTCCTTTTTAATGTATGAAACATTTTTGCGTTGATTTTATGAGATGAACTGAGATGAAAAGGTGGTAAGCAGTGGCCGATCGACGTAGTGGGATATGGAGATGTTGAATCCCTGGATACATCCTGGATAAACATGATGGCGCCCGGCTTGTATGTCATGCTTTCTGAAGCCATTCATTCTTCAGAACTAGTCGAGTTGATTCGAGGAACTCTAGATAGGCCTAATGTTCCACGTCACCAACACTGAAACGGCTTATGAAACAGGCCTCAAATCGATCTAACGTTACTTGTCCTCTCTGAAATGGTTCGTGAAGGTATGAATAGGCCTGCGATTGCCTTAACGTTACACGTCCTGAACTCAAAGCCCATGTTTTCATCCTTAAAGGCCTAAGTGGCACTGTAAGTCGAGGATTGAATTTCATTCGACTGAACGCAGAGACGTGCAAAGAAACGAAATGAATTTGCAATTTATCCCTTCCTTTCATGAACTTAAACCACAATGCGTACAAGTTACAAATGTAACTTTTTTCATGTCAGGGTTTGTTCGAATACGTTGATATTGTGACGAAAGCAATTGAAAATATTTCGTCATTCTCAAATTTCCTTCTGGATGCAGAGGATTATTCACATTCCCAGGGACTACATGCCTTTATTATCCGCTATTGCTGAATTTGGTAGTACTTATAACACGAAATCTGCGGCAATGTGAGCGTTGGCGTGCATTTGGATTAGTTGCATATAAAGTCTGTGTTCTCTGTGGTAATATTTGCTTGTGATGAGCTCTCTAATATACGGATATTCCTGATCGCTTCAACCTTGATCTTGGCATATCCGTTGACCCTTGAATTGGATCATGACGATGAGGTAAGTGAGAACTGCACCCAAGGCCTGCAAGATTCATGAAGACGGTGCTGCAAATGCTGAACATGATGGAACGCAACACTGAAAAAATGCAATCGAGGCTAACCGAAACAAGTATTCCCCGATTGTATTCGAAAAAGCCAGCAGCCTATGGCGAGATGGGATTCCCGTTCATGTTGTTCAGAAAGAGCGAAACTTGTGCCGTCTCGGTGGAATTCAATTTCAATGTCTCCACCCGCCTCAGATGCTGCTTCGTTCGTCCGGCCTGGGACGATTCATAGGGATACACTTCGTTATTATCATATCGAAACTGCACGACCGTGATAATAAAGACTCACGGATTTTGTAAGTCGATGACAGTGTTCTGTAAACCAAACGAATCTCATAGTGTGCACGATACCGACAAATATTGATATTAGAGCCGGCATGAACTCCGAGGAGTTGTATCCTCCTAGAAAAAAAAAGTGAAAACCTGAATGTAATTTTTTTTAATTACTTCGATTTTTCGCATCATGCAACATGAAGTTGAACTTCAACCGAATGATGGCGACATTGCTGCAGAAACTGGCTTATTTTTTGCCCATTCTCAAGAAGGCATTGAGTATTTCAATATGGCAAGAAAATGCTTTGCTTTTCATAAACTACCCTCTTTGTATGTCTGCTGATTAACTTGTTTGCCTTAATGGCGACTATTCACAACCCTCAAAATTTCCTAACAGAGATGCATGCCCTGAATGAACACCATTTCTCTCATTAGAGTTTCCCAACCACAACATCATTCCCATTTGGAGAAAATCTATTTTTATTGTCATGCGTCAATTTTGTGGCAATTACTGCTAGGGTCTACAATTTCGGGACAGAAACTTCCACATGAGTATAAACTTGTCGGGGATCTTTTCATATACGCTTCAGAAATCGAGAAACTATTAATTAAAAAATCATTCTCTATTCGCATAGCAAGCAGCTCCTCCAGCAGCAGACGAACTGAGGGGCCTCATCGCGGCATTCTATGCTAGAGATGTCTCGGATGCGGACAGAAACTACACAGACGTTAAGAAATTTACGCATTTGGTGATAATTTAAGCATATCTCAATAATAAATGCCCTGAGGTGAATATGAAAACCATCAAGGGACTACATTTTCGTGTGTAAAAGTAGTACTTCTTAACTGAAGGACACCTAAAATATCAGAAAGGAAAATACCGTAGAAAAGCGCAGAGAAAGAGAAGTAGTAGGCTGAGATGGACGCAATGATGTCGGAACCAGTTGAAACCGTCAACTGCCAGCACGTCAATTCCTCCAAACATCCGAATCCCCGAGATATTTCTTCGTATCTCAAGCGCAGCATTTCCAGCTCTTGACTGATGTCATTCTCCTTCAATCCGTTTCCATCATCTGAACGATGAGGAGCCTCTATTTGTCCAGCAATTTGCTTTTTGGGGAAAGCGTGTTTTATATTTCCTTACTTTGTCGTCTTTTTTTATAGGTATTGGAAGATTATGGGTTATTAGTGAGCTTGATAAAGTTTGCCACAGTAAGGGATCAGTTGCAATGATGGCTTTAAAGAGGGAAAGAGCTTTGTGTCAAGAGACTGGCAAGGTATGTGGAGGCTTACTCTATACAGGTATATTAGTCAAATGTATCGTATCGTGTCCATCACGAATTTGGTTGTTTGTAAGCGGAGCAGCATGAAATGGGTTTACGGAGATCGCACTAGCCGACTATCCATCGATCAACGGCTCGATTTCGCCTCTCCCTGAGGACGGGATCGTAAAAGCTAAAAAAAAGCTCAAGTGTTCGTATTTATGGAGTCCACATGAGGCAATGAAGTCTTCTGCTTGTCGAGGAGTGTCGTGCTATATCAAGCAGTGGGTGAGTTTAATTTTGTTGTTCATGGAAAATAGTGGAGATGCAGAAAAGTTCATTCCAATGATGATTTCTAGCCTTATTTCATGTCTCCCGCCTCTTCCCAAAGAGTTCCATTTGATTATCGCTTGCATTTGCCTCCCGGTGCTAATCCAGGCCAAAACTTTGAAAATTTTCAGGAAGAACTTATTTCGTACTCGACCCTGAAGTAATCCGCTACATCTCGTAACACTTCTTACCCACTGGGCACATTGGGCCCAGTATCTCATTCACGCGATACAGGAAAGCACACAGTAAAGAATAGTTGAAAATATTATGTTGTGAATAATTCAGCTCAGAAAATATTCGGTTGCACTTAACAGTTCAACAAACACCCCCCATAATTTAAATTTTATATCAGGGCCCATTGAACACAGAAGGTAGTTCCAGGTTCATGAAAGAAGCACCATTCCAGTGTAATTCTTCTTATGACGTTTTCCCCTCTCCGATGGTGTTATGGACAAAGTTCCAACTCAGGAAAGAAGAGGTCCACATTCTTTCATGTCCTCTGATCAAATAAAGCAACCGATATTCATACTTGACCTTTAATGTATTCAAAGTTCTACTAATACATTTGAAAACGCATCGAAAGGTACTTAAGTCATGCTATACATTGAATTACTTCATTAGATTTGACCATTTAAGTGCAAGAGCAGAGCCAAAATGATATACAAATGAAACAATTGTATGTCATTTCCAGACGTGCGTCTTAAAATATCTATCATAGTAACAATTCATTAAACTTATTAAATAATATCTGACCTGGAATGATGCCCGCCTGAAGACAATACTCCTTGGAAATGCACCCTCTCCGTTGAAGCAGAGTCAGAGTGTCTTGAGAGAGAGCGAGAAGTACATTCTTAAAGAACTGCATAAAGAAGAGACTGTTGAATACCGCACTCGAGTAGATGAGTAGGCCGTTGGTAATTAATGCGAATAAGACGATTCCATAGAGGGGAGCGTTGATGAGGGGCTGTTTACCACGAAAGGTAGCTGGACCGAACTTGATCAGGAGCATGTAACCTGAGATTGCAAGGATCGCAAGGATGACGGCCTCCATCATAACCGTTAGTGTGTCTCGTTTCCATCCCTTCATCTCAATGCGTCCCCAAGAACGCCGATCCTAAAGCCAAACAGGAACCGTATACTAGGGTGTAACGAAAGTATTTGGACATTTTGTATTTATGAACAAAAACTTTAGTTACAACCTAGTATTTTCGCTAAATGAATACTTGAGATTAGTGGCATTTCAATTCCACTCAGAGCCAAATAGGAAAGTTTTCCCGGCTTCATTCCCCGCAGCGCATGGTGAAGAAAGAGAGAGTTAGAGGCTTATCTGCCTTAACTGCAGAATCTAAAACAATTTCGAAATTGTAAGCAAAGAACAAAAGGAAGTCTGAATTTCAAGACTTCCATCAAAGTTTCTTACTAAAACATTCGTCGTGATTGTATTTGTAAAGGTTCTAATGAAGCAGATATTGCATGAAATATTCTATTTTTTAGTATTGCAGCTCCTGAGCTTTCTGGAGTTAAGAAAATGTATTTGAGTCATTTGACGCTCATGATCAAATAATAGCAGATCTTATGCATTATAATATTGACGAATGGAGATTGACTCCGCGAAAAAATATACAGCATTATCGAGTATTAATTATCCGTTAACTCTTGCCAAATTTAACTAATAATAATGACATACCTGACATCTAATACATAAAATGTGTTCCCTCAGTTAAAAAATTTCGATGTTGTTTTTTACCTGTATGTGCGCCCACAACCGGATGAAATCGGAGGTTCGGGACAACCATGCCACGAAAATGATCACACCGGAGATGAGGAGGCAACATATGAGAACGGAGAAGGATATGGCATCAGTGTCGAAGCCGCTCTCATTAGAGATGCCCTGTCGGCGTGGGATGTAAGGCTCAAGAGATAGGGCACAGAGTGCAGTGAAGAATACCGAGAAGAAACACGGATACAGAAAATCCCATTTCTTCCATAGCCTTCTCTCAAGCTCGAAGGGATGGAGCGCGCCAGCTGACAGTATTCGGCTCAAACTCCAGGGGAACATACCAAGAACACAGTTCATCACTACAACAGCTCTGCATCTTTTCGTTA